ATAAACATATAAAAATATTTCAACCTCACCTGAAATCAGGGAAATGTAACAAATTAAAACCACAATGAGATTCATTTCATTAACCAAAAATTGACAAAAATTTTAAAACCTCACAATTTTAAGAATTGAAAATACAGGGAGAAATGTCATCTGTATACATATACTTGGGTGATTGGGGGCAGGGACTATACTCTTATTTAGTACTAATACTTTGGAAAGCAATCTGGCAATGTCTTGTGCAGTTAAAGATGTGCATACCCATCAAATGATGTCATACACCTTAAATATATAAAATTTTTATTTTTCAACTATACTTCAATGAAGCTGGGGGGAAAACTTCAATAGCCATCTGTATATCTTCTTGGGTGAAGTGTCTGTTAATGTTAAGGGTTTTTGTTTTGTTTTGCCTGAGCACATATTACCTTGTGAAAAACATCTGGTGAAGACAACATGAATGCACTGGGCATTGCCCCTATATAAGCAGTTCTGGCATAAGTTGGCCTGGGCATGGCAGCACTGCCTCTGCTGACATCTAGCTGTTGTGCTTCCTATTATTAGATGAAACCAATATAGTCCAAGGTACTGGCCCTTCTCCCCTGGGATACCTAGAATGGGGGTCTTCAAACTGGGGCTATGTGCCTTCCACGAGGTTCAGGATAACGAAGGGGAACAAGGATATTTATGCTATATAATAAAAGCCTAATATGCAAATTGTCCCCTGGGGCAGTCATTCGACCGGGAATTCGACCGCTCACTATGATGTGCGCTGACCACCAGGGGGGTGGCGTGGGACATGACGGGCCTCGGCAACACGACGCTGGCAGCAGGCAGCAGTGTAGGCACTGACGGCCCCGATGGGCCCCAATGAGAGAGGGACTGCGGCGGGATGGTGGAGCAGGTGAGCAGGTGGCGCCAGGTCAAGGTGAGTGTGAGAGGGGGGCCTGATTGCCCCGTTGATCGCCCCACATACAGCGACCAGTGGCCACCAGGCCCTGATCGTGTGATCAGGGCTGGGCCATGGGCTGGGACAGGGAACTGGGGATGGGTGACAGCGACCAACCTCCCATAGCACCCGGGCGGGGGGCTGGGACCTCTCGCTGGCTACCTGGGGGCAGGGGTGACAGGATCAGAGGTGCGGTGAGAATGTGGAGTGTCCACTGAGCTCACTTTCACTCCCCCTGCTATCCCCCCCCAAGACAACAGGACTCCACACAGGGGAAGCCCCACCCCGCACCCACACAGTCTCTTCCAGGTGATCCAGGCTGCAGCTGCAGGGACCGCAGGGGTGGTCGGGCTCCCCGTGGATTCATGCAAGGCCCACTGGGAGAGAGCACGCTGCCCTCCTGGCTTCCGTAAGGCGCATCTGGGCAGCCCAGAGGCCCAGGCTGTGCCCCAGCCCGCGGTGTCCGGCCATACTCACCACATCTCTGCATGGGGACTCAGAAGCCATGACTCAGGAGGGGGGGGGGGGGGGGGGGCGCTCAGGGGCCCGAGGGCACAGGTGCTGCCCATGGCCCAGAGGTCAGCTGGGACCTGCCCTTCCATGCCAGATGCATTTAAATCGCCAGCCAGGCCCAGGGACCACACCCATGCACAATTTCGTACACCAGGCCTCTAATCCTCTAATATATATATAACCAGATTCTTGATTTCCATTTTGACCCTCTTACAGTTGATCTGATCTGCCTAAATATATGTGAGAGCACCAGTTCTCTAGTTTTCCTCCTCTTCTTCTTCCTTTTCTCTCTTCATAGCACCCCCTCTCCTCCCAGTTTACAAAAAAAAAAAAGGCAAACCTTTTTCCAAATCTGAACCCACATGGCCCCAGCATATACCATCACTGGGGTTCAAATACAAGGGCAGTTGGAATTTTACTGCAGTCAATTTGAGAAAGTGACCCTACTGTCTGACTAACACATTTTTTGGCAATGCAGGTGTTTCCCAATCCTCTGCTTTGAACAAAACCAGAGAAGGGCATAATCCAGTTGCCAGCTGAGCCTTAAAAGTAATTGCTGATATTAGGTTGCTATGTGAGCTTGGCATGTGATATAGAAGCAGGTAAAAGAACTGGATGACACTGTTATAATAACACTCCTTTTATTACCATTTATTATTCATGTGAACCAGGTTTCTCAAGATTGCAGCTATAAAAACAAAAATAGGAATAAAATTATTGCTGAACCCTGTTTTATTCTGGTAAGATTCAAACAGTAAGACAAAGTCTCATCTAGCTCATTAAGAAATGAATTTCTAATAAATTGTGCTTTTTAGAAAACATAATGATTCTCAAGTATTTTAATACATTTGTACTCCTTAAATAAATTTTATTCTGCTACTATTTATAATAGTAACTTAATCCAGTAGAAAATTTCTTAACACCTACATAAAGTCTTATAGACACAGAAAATTTTTAAATTATTATTTTAAGTGTATATACATTTTTATTGCCAGGAAATATGATGTAGTGATTGATAAAATAAACAATTTAGCATAAAAATGTAAATTCACTGCCATGTAATTCTGTGCAGGAAGGGGAAGGAAACACATATTCAAAGAGAAAAAAGGAATAATGTAAAGTTTGGCTATTAAAGATCTTCTTTATATTTTTTGTTTATATTTTAATGGATGAGCAGATGTCTTAAAATTGCAATGGTGTTTCAATTTCATTGGCTACATTTAAAAGAATAACGTATCATTTTTAAGTGACAATATTTACCATATACAAGAAATCACACTATTTACAACAGTTTAAATGTTAGCTGTCAACTAGAAAATGTACAAAGAGGCAAATAGTTTTTAAAAATTCTTTGAAGGGCTACAAAGACTACAAGTTTTAAGTATAAATATTGTACTAAAGTGTGGACACCACCCACATCACAGCCTATGTTTCTATACAGTTCCCTCTCTTCCCCATGCCCACTCCTTCTCACAGGCAACCTTTGTTGTTTTGACTTTTTGTTGTTATTGTTCTTATTTTACTGGACCAGGGTATAGTGCTTTTTGCTTCCTAAAGATGGGTGCACTAGAAGTTAACTGAGTGGGTGGGTGGGAAGAGATCAACCAAAGAACTTGTGTGCATATATGCATAACCCATGGACACAGACAATAGGGTGGTAAAGGCCTGGGGCGAGGGATGGGGGGCAGGCAAGAAGGAGTCAATGAGGGGGGAAAGGGGACATATGTAATACTTTCAACAATAAAGATTTAATTTTTTAAAAAGTTAGTTGAAATAAAGAATCTAAATACAAATATAAAATATCTACTGTAAATAATATTAATGACAAACATAATTCCAACACAGAAAATACAACTTATGAAAGTAATAAGTCTCAATTTTTCTGCTTAATATAGTAAGTTTCATGAGATGTCTTATAAATTAAAGTCTTCACATAATTTAAATGTCCAAAACTTAAATTAAAAAGTAGCATAGAACACACTTGAAAATCACAAAAGTAGACTTGAGTTGGAAATGGAAGACTCAACATGGTTAGTAAGACTCAACATCTCAAAGATGCCAGCTTTAAGTTAATTAGTAATTTAAAACAAGCTCAATAAAAATACCATTTGCCCCCTGGAGTCAATTATGATTTCCATTTGAAAAACCAAACATACGAAGCAAGATCCAACAGAAGATGGTTTGGGGTAGCTAGCTGTACCAGATATTAAAAAATATTATAAAGTCTCTAATATTTAAAAAGTCCAGATATTGACACATGAATAAGTAGACAAATCAAGCAAAATATAAAGTCAAGAACTACTTTCATTGACAAATGCAAATGTAATATTTAATAAAGATAAGCTCACACTGAGGGGGTGATATTTTAATAACTAAATAGAAAAAAATATGTAATTGGATCCATTCCTAAGACCATATACTAAGATGAATTCCAAATGGATCAGAAACTTACAGGTAAAAATATGAAACCATATAAATACTAGAGGAAAACCTGAGTCAGTTTCTCTATAACCAAAAAAATGGAGAAAACTTTTCTAATTATGGACTCACACCCTCAAAGCAATAAGACAGATAAACTTAATTATTAAAGAGGGAAGAAATAAAAATAGACCAAATTGGCAAGAGAAATCACAAGATAAGTAAAAAGACAAAATGGGGAAAATATTTATAGTTTTTATCACTAAGGGTATATCAGTTACATATAAAGAATTTCTTTAAAATAAAGAAAAAAGGAACAATAATAATAATACAGAAAATCGGCTTGTGAAATAAACAATTGACTGAAAAATAAGGGAAAATAACTCTTAATCAAATTTTAAAAGCTCAATATTCCTTATAAGAGAAGTAAAAATCAAAACTATGCCAATCTGTGACTTTCTACCCACTTAACTGGTAAAAATAATGTTTAATAACATACTTTGTTGTGAGGCTGCGAAACACTGGTGCTAATGCAAAATAGTACAGCCTCTATGAAAGGGAATTTGTTACTATTCAACAAAATTACGTATGCATTTACACTTTGACCCATCAATCTCATTTAAGACATTTATCTCAAAGATACACCAGCAAAGGCATGGAAAGACATATATTGACAAAAATAAATAAATAAATAAACAAGGCAATTCATGACAGGATTATATAAAATAGCAAAAAAACTGGAAATAATTCAAATGTCCGTCAAGGGATGACAAACTAACTAAAATTATGGTACATTAACAGAACGGAGTTCTCCACAGTTCTGAAGTAATGTCAGAGACGCCTTGTTAAGTACAAAAAAAAGTAAGATGGGGGAAGTGTGTATAGTGTGCTATCATTTTTCTAGTAAAAGGGATGGAAATGTGTATGTGAATATTTACCAAAAATGGCTTATTAAAAATAATCAAAAGGTTAAACCATAAACTTTAAAATGGTTCCTTAAAGGAAAAAAAAAACAAAAAGGAATAGGGGGAAGGAAGACAAATAATTTACATAATTATCAAATTCAATTAAATTTTAAAGCAAGAATTCCTAAAAGTCAAGAATAAAATGAAGACCAGTCCGGGTGCCCGCCTTCCTTCGCTGCGGCCCGACCAGAGCTGCTTGCGAACTCCTAATTGTTGCTCCAGGTTCTTTCAGGTCTGCGTGTCTGTTGTTCTCAGCACTCGGCTAGGCTAGAAAAGGAAGGAACCTATCCAGAATTCCCGCAGGACAGGAAAAGGAGGGGACATCCCAACATGGAAAAACTCTGCAGTGTAAATGAAGGCATGCCTGAGAATCAAGGAGAGATGGAAAATGAACAGCCTCAGAATGCTGCAACGCCAGAAGTAGCTCATACTTTGGAAGACAAGGAAAAGTCAGAAAATGAAGGAAAGATAGAAAACAGGGGAGAGACAGAAAATGAGGAAATACTTGAGGATAAGGAGAAGCCAGAGAAGGAGGGAAAGCCAGTGATAGAGGGAAAGTCAGAGAGCCAGGGAAAATCAAAAGAAGAAGGAAAACCAGAGAGTGAGGGAAAGCCAAAAGAAGAAGGAAAGCCAGCCATGGAACCAAGGGCTGCAGGAAAGCGCCCAGCTGGGGATGATGTACCTAGAAAAGCCAAAAGAAAAACCAACAAGGGGCTGGCTCAGTGCCTCAAGGAATACAAAGAGGCCATACACGATATGCATTTGAGCAATGAGGAGATGAGAAGAGAATTTGATGAGATGGCCAGGGTAGAGGATGAGGTGAAGAAAACCAGACAGAAATTGGGGGAGTGTTATGTGGATGCAAAAAAGTTTACAGGACCCATTCCACCCCAGAGGCCCTAGGGAACTCAGGGGTGGCTGTAGGGCCCCACAAAGGGGCTTTGAAGACATTCCTTTTGTGTAGTGCCCATGGCAGGCACTTGCCAGGCCCAGGGCTTTAACCTTATGCTAATGTTTTGCTTTAGTTGTCACTCTGTTATCCAGCTGCAGCCCTCTATGTTTCAGTAACAGATTTTTGTCCATTGCATGGAATAATGTTTATGATGCATTGTAAAATTAAAAAGAAAAGTTTGCAGAACCATATATATGGCATCAGTCCATTTTTGTAAAACTGCAAAGATATTTACCTAATGATCTATGTACAGGAAGAAGAAAACTCTGAAAGCTGAGTCTACTAAAAGATTAATAGTGGTTATCTGTGGGTAATGTTTTTGTTCATATTACTTTCATCATAAAAATAATGAAAAATAAAAAATAGGAAAACAATACCAAGCAATCAAAAAAAAAAGAATAAAATGAAGCAAATAAACTTATATGTGTGGCCGCTATAAAGATATGCCACATGATTTTAAAAGAAATAATTTGTATATCCAAAGTGAGATATGCACCAAGACAAAAAAAAAAAATGGGGAAGGGGGGACACATTTTACAGTAATCATGTGGTTGACTGTAATACTGGTACTGCTATTTTGAGGCTGTTGAGTGTATACAGTCATGGGCTGCAAAACAACATTTCAGTCCACAGCAGATACCATGGTGGTCCCAGAAGATTATAATGGAGCTGAAAAATTCCTATCATCCAGTGACTTCATAGCCGTCATAACATAACATCAGAGCACAACACATTACTCACGTGTTTGTGGTGATGCTACTGTAAACAAACCGTCTGCATTTGCCAGGCCTATAAAAGCGCAGCACATACAATCATGTGCATTATGTAATACTTGATAGTGATAATAAACAACCATGTTACTGGTTTATATATTTACTATACTATACTTTTTATCTTTGTTTTAGAGTGTACTTTCCTACTTAAAGGAAAAAAGTTTGCTGTAAAACACTTTGTAATGCTATGCCATCAGCAGCTTCTTACATCTCCTGTTTCCAGTGTGGCTTGATTGCATCTTTCTCTCTCGTGTCTGATTTAATCTTGTATTGGTTTGTACAGTTACATGCTGCTGTACAGGCCTGTAGCCTACAAGCAATAGGCTATCCTATGTAGCCTCGGTCAGCGATTTCCAACCTTTCCGTCTTGTGGCACACATAAGCTAATTACTGAAATTCTGAAGCACACCAAAAAGTATATTATTTTTTCCCCAATCTGACATAAAAGAAATAGGTATAATTTTTATTCTTTCACACTGGACGGCTATTGTTGTGTTGGCTGTTGTCATTTTTTTATTTGACAATCTAAGGGAAAGAGGTCAATGCCACTGACTAGTCAGGTACTGCATGTTTTAAAAATTCTTGCAGCACACCAGTTGAAAATCGCTGGCCTAGGTGTGCAGTAAGCGATACTTACCTAGGCTCGTGTAAGTGAACATGATGTTTGGACAAGGACAAAATAACCTAAGGATGCATTTCTCAGAATGTATCGCCTTCCTTAAGTGGTGAATGACTGTACTATGAGATAAATCAAAAGAGTAATTATTTGGTATTCTAGTCCAATCATTTCGAGGTGTTACGAAATTAATTCTTCATGAAATTAAAAAAAAGAGACACAGATGTTAGATAGAAGGAGATAAGTAAACTAGCTTGTTATTTTGAAAACTTCCTCTATGAACTGTATCAAATGAAAAGCAAATAGTAGATGGAAGGATTTTTTTCTGTATAGGAGTATTTCTGCTAATAAAAGAAAATAAATTATAGATTTAGAAGAGAAGAATGAATTCTAGAACCAGAATACTATTTTGCACTTCCTAAATATTAGTGGATCTATGCATTTTTCCTCAATAAGGAGACAACCAAGCATTCATTAGTTTGCCTGCACACAGAAGAACATAACACAACCTATTAAGTTCTACCAAAAAAAATATATATTAAAAAAAAATCTGAATCCGATAGAGCTTCTAAATCCAACCACCAGTTTACTAAAAATAAAAGAACACATTCAAAGATATCACAGGGATGCAATCAGTAAAGGACTTAGCTTCCTTAACAAATAATTGAAAAAGAAAAAAGAAAAGAGAAGGAGAAATCAATAAATTAAAGGTCAAGAGACACATCAACCAATCACAATGTGTGGATATTTTTAGAATCCTTAAAACAAACAAAGAAAACAATTTTAAAATATTACTATATTTGCCCAGCAGGCATAGCTCAGTTGAGCACCAACCTATGAACCAGGAGGTCAAGGTTCGATTCCCGGTCAGGGCACATGTGTGGGGTGTGCAGAAGGCAGCTGATCAATGATTCTCTCTCATCACTGATGTTTCTTTATCTCTCTCCCTTTCCCTTCCTCTCTGAAATCAATAAAAAATATTTTAAAAAATAATAATAATCAGCCCCGGCCAGTGTTGCTCAGTGGTTAGAATGTCAGCCTGTACATAGAAGGGTCACGGGTTCAATTCCAGGTCAAGGGCACATACCTGGGTTGCAGGTGTGATCCCAGCTCTGGTTGGGGCATATTTGGAAGGCAACCTGTCGATATGTCTCTCTCACATTGATGTTTCTCTCTCTCTTCCCTCACCCCCATCCCTTCCACTCTCTCTAAAAATCAATGGAAAAAATATCATCGGGTGAGGATTAACAACAACAAAAACAACTAATCAAACCTGAAAATAACACAAAATAATATTAAATATAAACTGTATTGTAATAAATTTTTAAATTTTTAAAATATTCTTAAACTAATCAAAGGTTTTGGTTTCTACCTCCAGATAGCAACTTTATTTTTGCTGGACATTTTTTTAAAATATATACTGTAACTTTATTACGAAATATTTCAAAAACACCAAAAAGTATAAGAAATAATAAAACCAATAGGTATGTATCTACCACCTTAAAATATAAAGTATTGAAAATATAACGTTTCCTCAATTACATTTCTCCCTCTGTCCACCACTCCATACCTTCTCCAAAGGTACACACTATTTTGAATTTAGTGATGAATAATCCCACCTGTGGGATCTAGTCTTTAAAGATAGCCCTCCTCCAAAGATCAACAGTTTTCGGTGTTCATGCCCTGGTATGGCCCTTCTATTGGGGTTGGCCCTAACACTTGCTCTGGATCCATAGAATATGGTGGAACTGATACTGTGAAACATCTTAGGACAGGTCATGAAAAGGCTGGCAACTTCCCCCTGGGTCTCTTGGAACATGTGCTTTTTGGTCACTCCTTGTTGCTACCCTGAGAAGCTAGACCTCATGAAAGGCCATGAGTAGAATGAACTCTAGGCTGTAAGCCAGCATCAACATCAATAGTCAGCCGCCTGAGCCAGTCATCCTGGCAACACAGTGCAGTTGAGCCTTTGGTGACTCCAGCCCAGGCCCAGCCACTGTCTGCAGAAGAAATTCCAAGAGAGCAGAACCAGGTCTACTAAGAGAACCATGAGAGAGTCAAAAAAAAAAAAATGTTTAAAGCAATTTTGTTTAAGAATTTTTTACACAACAATAAATAACCAGGACACCATGTCTTATACTTTTACTACCTATTTATAAAGTTAAGCACTTTAAAGGAGCAAATGGTCACAGTAAAAATATGTACTATTTATGGATACCTTTCTACTACCGTACTTGTCATAATGATGAGATACCAGACCAGGGGAGCCCACATGACAATGCATGCACAAAATCTGCCTGGCTTTGTTTAGCCAAGTAAGCCAAAAATGGGTTCACTTTTTTTTTTAAATGTGGAGAAAAATAAAAAAGAAGACTATTTTATGACTCACAAAAATTATTTAAAATGCAAATTTCCATGTCCACAATAAAACTCTATTGAAACAAGGCACACTCATCAATTTATGTTTTATCTATGTGCACTGTCTTTGGCTGGATCATTGTGACAAAAACCCTACGGCCCACAAAGCCTAAATATTTACTACCTGGCCCTTTGCAGAAAGTTTGCTGACCCTTGCCATAAACTTACTTGCCAAATGTGTCCCGTAGCAGAGAAATCCATGAATGTAGATGCAGAACAATATGGAGGAGACTCTGACCCACAGGAACAAGGCATAGACTAACCTTAAAAAGCCATCCAAAGCAGAGTCCAGCAAGGAAAACATGTACTCATTATCCTGCCACCAGACAAACTGATCAACAGAACAAAAGAAAGAGCAGGGAGGGTGGTTACATCATCATTTGAACTCATTTACTCATGGGAAGATGATAGTTAAAACGGGTCCAAGGAGTGCGTTAGGTACGGCTTCCTCCCAGTGTGGGACAACCTCAGACTGACATGAGGAGGAAAGGAAAAAGGAGAATACACTAGAAATCAGGTATATGCAGAAAACACATTGTAAACATGCCTTCTAAGTTATAAAAAAATGGCAGGTGCATAAAGTACTTCTAAGAGTGAATACTAAGAAACCCTAAGTGCCAATAATTATCACACATTAACATCCACTCTCTCCATATAATTGTTGGACAGGCATTGTCGTTAATATCTGCCTGCTGTTCACCATTAAAGCTTGACATTTCTCATATGAGTTCTTGTGAGGCCCAAGCAAAGCTCCAAATCAGCGCTGGTGTTGGAATTTAATCTGCAGACCTATGAATCCCACGGAAGTGAAGGATACTGTATACATTTAAAATAACAACAATGGATAAAAAGGAGAGTACTATTATCTCCGTTTTCTTGAGGATTAGCAACGTTAAGTAACTAACATGTTCAGTCACAGAACTAGCACATGATAGAGCCTGGCTTGAATCCCAGACAGTCTGATTCTAGGGCCTATATGCTCTCAACCCCTACATCGTACTGCCTCTCCAAAAACTAACTTTTGAATTATCAAAATAAGTGTAAGCCTAAAAATATAGAGGTCAAATAAAAAGTAAACATGGTACTGTTAAGAAGTTTTAGCCACTATACTTGGCAAATGTCAATTACAGTATGTTATCAATTCATTTCACATCAATATTCATTTCTCTTTGTACAGTACCTGAATTTAATACCAGATGGAATAAAAAAAATTACCTCAGACC